GATCATATATATAAATTTAACAGGAAATATTTAGAAAATTTGAAAGTTCTTATATACTTTATCAAAATTCATAGTTAGGGTATTTTATGGTTAATGTATTTTGTAGTCTTATATTTAAATGACCTATATACAATAAGGTCATACATACATTGAGCCAGTGCACATAGTAGAAAATGGGCAGATTATAGCCTATCAAATATATATGATCCTTTTCTGCTGTGTGCATGGCTCTAGATATCTACAAACCTATAATTGGGTGTACCAGGAGGGAAAGTGGTGCAAATAATATTTAAAAAAATCGGTTGAAATGGAAAAGACATGTGCACAAATATCCCAGATGTTGTATTTGGTGCCATGGACGATTTTGGTTTATAGTCTATAGCTAGTACTCATGGACACTGCAAAAAGATCAGTTAATTTTACATCTCAGGGGGGCCCATGTTAGTTGTCTGTAAAAAAATATTTATTTATTTTCGAATAATTATGAAACAAATGATATCAACTTGATCGCTCTTGTTGGTTTGGAGGGTATCTTTTTTTGACAGAAAACCAGAATACCTGGGGGGGAAAAAACACATGGTCAAGTAGGTGACCCCATAGCTTTTCTGTTGTCTGTTGTATGTAACTACTAACTAATTACACAGGAGATACAAAAGGTCTATATTCTTTCCCCAAAACTGCACAAGGGCTGGAAAGGTGCCGAAGGCCGAACCATGTATTTACTTTACAGTTGATAGTGGAAAGGTTAAGTATCACAAGCAGTAAGTGAAATGCATAACCTTTCTACTATATTCTTAACAACCTGAAGAAAATGTTTAGGAACATTTATTTACTTATCCGGAGCATATACAACTTTTAAACAGCTGGTCATGGGCATTGAACATGACAGGAGAAGACATATACTGTATTATTTACTCCTTGTCCTTTTCTGAAATGTAATATTTGACATCAATGTCCATGCGTTAAGTTATATTTACAACAAAAATTAATAAAGATAATATAGGAAACAGACCACAGGCTATGCGGTTCCTTTTTGTTTATCATACAAGCTAGTTAAAATGGAAAACATGTGAAATTTCAAATGTTTTTATTTTGATTCAAAACAGGCCATAAATGAGGTTTTGGACAACAGTAATCTACCAGTTGAGATTGTGGATGGTTTTATAGATGAAATAGCTGTATCTATACCATGGACAGCTCTCATACAGAGCAGTACAGAGATGGAGATCCGGGGGCTGGAACTGACCCTACAGCCAAAACAGAGGAGCAGCAATGGTCAGTACAAGTTACCTAATGGCTCACTATCAGTATAGTAGTACAGGTAATAGAGGCAGGCTCATGGTGGTAGACAAGTCAGACCAAAGGAACATATAGCTCCACTACAGACAAAGGAAAACAGCGAGGAGAAATAGCTTAGAATTTGAACTTGTATGCACAAATATATCTTCTACAGATACTCCTTACCTTAAGGTATAGATGGAGTAAAATTGTTATCAATCATGACTCAAACAGTACTGTTTAAACAGGGTCTTAGTAGGCTTATAAATTCTGCTTCCTTAGCCTTAGGTTTAATTATGTTTATCAACTATGGATAAGGAGGAAGTATTCAAAATTTGTCATCAATACAACTTGTGTGTGTTCACTGACCAGTGACAATCTGAAAGCTGTCTGTATTTGGTGTCTATGTACAGTAATTCTAGTGTGTTATATTTGCATATGACACCTCCGGGTGTTTTTATTAAGGAAGGAAATATCAACCTGCTCAGTTTCAAACATACATATGTATAAAGGATTTGATGTAAATCGCGGACATTATTTGCTGAAAAATGACCCTGTAAGATTACGCCTGGACACTTTATAGCACATGTACACCAAAAACATTGACTCTGGATTAGGTCAGGTCCAGAGATGAACATGATCTACAAATCAAATGTTTAAATTTGCAGCCCAAGGCCTGGAGACCATGTTTTGCAGTATGAACAGTAGCATGACCACCAGTCTACAGATAGCAGAGGAGTGTCTGAAGGAGGACCGAGCCAAACCGTTCAGAGGTCGTGAAGGCAGCCTCGGAGATGATGGGGGTCAGCAGTTTGAAGGAGTACAGAAGTTTGCTCAGACTATCGATTCAGGTAATATTTCCTGGTGAAAAAGTGAACTGATAAAAACAAGTTTCCTTGTGTTTCTAATTACATTTAAAGTTATTTGCAGACAAGTGGATATTTTTTATTTGTTCCAATTTCTCAATGGCCCTTATAGGTAGATGGTTCTTATTTCTTCTCCCATAATATCTGATAATTGGTATATTTACTAAGAACTGTAAGGAGCTATATTCTAAACATTTATATCTCCCTTGTTTTCAGTGCTTTGTAGGGTGAAAGTTACTTTGGTGGACACTGTGATACGACTTGAGCACCTCCCCAACAGTGCTGAAACAGGGGTGGCACTAGAAATCAGGATCAAAAGGTAAGGCATGTGACATAGGGTTTGTGCTGGAAGATTTAGTTATAATTATACATCTTCAGCAGTGCTGAAACAGGGGTGGCACTATGAATCAGGACCCATGCTGACATAGGGTTTGTGCTGGAAGATTCAGTTATAATTATACATCCTCAGCAGTGCTGACACAGAGGTGGCAATGGAAATCAGGATCAAAAGGTAAGGCCAACCACAAAGTGACAAGCTGACAAAAAGGCTAAGTTGAAAAATAGAACACTATTATACAACCTCATGAGTTCTGAAATAGGGTCCTCTTTGGGATTCTAGAAAAAAAGGTAGGGCCATGCTGATTTGGGTGGCTGTGCTGGAGTATTTAGTATATTTATAATCATCAATTATGCTGAAACAGGTACAGGTGTAAAAACTAGGATAAATTACGTCTCTCCAACATTAGTGGAGCCGGCAATCAGGATGTAAAAAAAGTAAGGAAAACCGCCCAGCTTTGCTGAAAATAGGGACTGAGGTGGGTTGGGGATATTCATGATAGAAAGGCAAAAGCAAATCTGAAAAGTTTAGGTTGAAAATTGGATAAAGTTTATACTTTTACTGTCATATAATTTATAAAATTGTGCATGATAAGTATTGTAATTGCAAAATCTTATTGTTATAGAATGGAGTACTTTGATGACATGGCTGAGGGATCTTCAGTAGACAATACTGAATTTGCTAAGAATTGGGAGCCTGCAGCTGTGGCCCACAAGAATTTCCTGATGGAGGGCATGCATATTCTGATTGACCACTTCTCCCGTAACTCGCGTCCCCACAGCAACCACTCCGACTCATCCTGCTCATCACCTCAGGTAGGTGTGCCATACTTCTCAGACAGGTCCGATCAAACACACGGCAGGGTAAGCACAGGACTTAAATTTGAATTTACAGTATGGCCTAAAAAAGCCTTAGATTTCACCTTTGGTTTTGAAAAGCCTTGAATACTGGTTTGTGGCCTTAAAAGTGTTAGAATTTTGCTGTTTAGTAATTCAAAGTCATGCCTTTCTTGCTCTTTAAAGTTTCACAAGAATGTTTAAAACTAAATGGTTTTCCAAACTTGGTCACGATTGTTGTGAAATGTTTTTGCCCTGACATTGATGTATTCAGTGACAAAGCCTGTTCCAAATGAGACACATTTTATTTTTGTGAGATCTTTGTTTTATGGTATAGGAACCACTATTTAAATTGTAGGTGAAATAATTCAAAGCAACACTCGAATCAGAATCTGTTCAGGTCTTTCCATCATAATGTTAAAGTAATCTGAAACCAACCATGCATGGTGTGAAATTAAAGTTCAAATTATGATATTATTTTCCTAGTGGTTTGAGTTGACACTTTTCTTCTTTTGGAACTGGTTAGTATAGAAAACACTAACTCGTTAACATCGAAATGACTGTTTCACCATTTGGTAAAAACAATTTGCT